ACCCCACTCTATTCAATTCCAGTTCTATAGTCTTAAAAGTCAGTCTTTCTGGGTGAAGTATTTTGCTGAAAATTTTTTTTAGAATAGAGACTATTACATTTACTCTATTGGGTGTTTTAAAATTCCACTACACCTCCTTATATTTTTATACCAAACAAATTCTCTACTTCATGTTTTAAAACAATGACCAATCTGTATTTATGCTATGAATTTAAATTTGTTTGTTTACCTAGAGTTTGTCAGTTTATAGAGTTCATAAGTAGATTGAGCGCCTTAGCAGTAAAGGTCTTTCGCACTTTCTTCACTTGTGGGTAGGAGAGTTATTTCTAAATCAATGAAGTCTATACCTATTTTCAGAATTCTCAGCACACATAATTATGTAAAGTGTGCGAGGAAGCAAAACAGAGTTATAAGGAGGTGTTATAAGCCTAGGCTTAGAAAACTGCTGCTGACAGCATACTATGCAACAATATTTAATTGGATATATGAATCTTATTACAAGTGTTTCCAAGGCTTTATTACCCTAACACATGCCCTGAAAAGATTTGTATGTGTTCATATAAAGGTAACAGAATCATTCAGATCTTAGTTTTTAGAAAAACTAAGCCAATTTGTAAATGAGATAAAAAGCACATTCTCCTTGAACCTTATATGCACATGTATTTGTACACAGACTTGTGATTCACAGCTATAATTCCATAGCTATTACTCTGTGATCTCTTCTAAACTTAACTTAAGCTTAAAGCACTAACAATAAGTCTAGGTCTGCATATGACAATAAATGATCAGTTCAGTAAATTCCATGCCTTCTTCCTTCCAAAAGTGCAATGAAAACTTTGAAAAGTAAACACTATTCCCAATAAAAATTAAACATTATAGCAATTTCACTATCCAAGATCATTACCTCTTTGAAGAAACATGTGTCTTTCTTATGTATTTTATTATTTGATTTCCAATAAGAGTAATGAAATGGACCAAATCCTTATATGTGAGCACATATCTAGATAGAACTGCAGGAACCAGAATAACGGAAAGGAACCAGGGAGGTAAAGGCAAAGAAAGAACCTGAGAGAGAACAGTAGGAGGCAGGTATTACTAAGGGAGAAATGGAAAAAAATGGGACTATTTAAATGGGAGGGGTATACAAGGAACCTTTGGGATAAAGGGAAAGAAAGCTCAAAAGAAGTGAGACCATAGGAGACTGGCTAAATTATCAAGGGCGAAATGGGGAAAATGGGGACACTTTTAATGGGGACACCATGGTGGAAGGGTTAGACACGGAGAGAGAGAGGAGAGCTAAGCAATCCCTAGCTAGTTTTAAAAAACTAGAGGGAATCATATTAGTCCAACTACCTAAGGACAAATTACACATACAGTATCTCTGCATGAGTCGAAGTGTATAGCTAAAGGTTATGTGCAAAACACTACAAGAAACAGTGCCAGACAGGAGACATCTTCCTTTGAATTGTTGGCTAGGGTGGTTAGAGAGACCCCCCAAATTACTTAGTCTACTGCCACAGCCCTTGATTGCCTCACAGAGCTTGAAGATAAGACCGTACTGCTGAAGACAGAACATACTTTGGACACAAGATTTGGAGCAATGGACCTGGAACTGACCTGGAAGCCACTTCCCCTGAAGGCTAGCTATCATAGCTTTGGAGAGCACTATGAAGGTGCCAAGGGAAAACATCAATCGATGGTCCAACACCAGCTTCAAGACCAAATAACTATATCAATGGCTGGCACAGCAATTAACATTGGTGCAGCAATAGCACTTTTATCTTGGGGCTAATCAGCAGTGACCTAATTAGAGTAAAAGCCCACTCAATGGGAGGAAACTCAAGGGTGGTACTGTAAACAAAACCAATTACACATGGCTTTCTTATAGAAAACCCAAAGACTGTCACATCCCTAGACTAATTTCTTACTATGTGCAAAATATGTATTCTTATATTTACAGATAAATATCTCAGTCACCACTCATCAAAGAAGCTTCTTTTGCACCAGGCGGAGACTATTACCAAGTACCATAAGTGATCACACACAGACATTATCTATGAATTGTGAAGGCCTAAGTGACACATCTTAATGCGACCTCTACACTTAAGGTTCACAGAACATAGAACAGGGGTAACGAGATCACTAATACATCTCTCAGTTCTCATTAATGAAACTCACTCATGCAACAGAGGACCAGGAACATAAAAGGTCACAAATGGCCAAAGCATAGAGATTAAGAGTTTGCAGAACGCTGGTCCTTGGAGAAAACTCCCATATTAAACTTTACCCACCCAGGGCTCAGGGACCACTGCAGAAAAGTTGTAAGAGTCAGGGAGGAGATGCATAACCATATGGAAACAGAGTCCTACAAGCTCCTGGGATCTCACTCATATGAATCTACAGTAATGGTGTCAGCATACAGAAGTCCCGTGCAAGCTCAAGCAGACAAAAACCCAGCATAGAACTAGGAAAATGGACAGCAGACCCCAATTTTAGCTGAAGAAATATTGACAACTGATTACTTCTGGGTGAGGAAGAGCTGATCTTCTTAAAATGAGGGACTGTAGATAGACTGACTAGACCTCAGTAGATGAACTTGCACTGAGGAACATCTGGGGACACTCACATGACACAATAGGCCTTAACACAAATGACAGAATGTATGAATTAATTCCAGTTGGAGGGATATGGGAGGGCACCAGTGGGGCTGGAAGTAGAAAAATGATTAAGACTGATTGAGATGTTCTGTATGAAATACGCAAAAATTCAATAAAAATATTTTTTTTAAAAAAGAGTAATAATGAAATGAAGACTGAAGTTTAATTATCCAAAAGATCCCAAAGGAGTGGGTAGATATTAGAACATGGGTATATTTTAATAAGGTTTTTAGAATCAAATAAACTTGTCAAAATTATTAACAATCTAGCTTTGTTTTCTTAGCATTGCCCAAATAAATAAGTATTTGCATTATAAAAATAATACCACCAAAAACACATGTTTTTTTTTCCTTCTCTTCCCCATTCTCCTCCTCCAGGAAGCTGCCAAGATTTACAGCTTGCCTGTTCTGAGGTTTCTCTTTTAAATTCTAGTAAAATTGTCCTCAAGCCTCCTTTTGGAAAGAAAAAAAGATACATTTATGTCTCTCATATTACAAAATCTTCAGTTTCCATTTATATGTATTATGTATTTTAAATCAAAATGTTTAAAATAGGAATTTACTTAAACGTATTTTTCTCTTATAGTGAGCTATACATTCTCAGAGTAGTCAGTGGAACCTACAAATATAAACTGATGTATGCCATAACATGCTCATAACATTTTTAGGGAACTTTCCTTGTTATGATTAGTGTATTCTATATAACAACAATGATCTATCGTTAGTCAATTATAGGCTATTGTATTCCAGTTTTGTGTATTAGCTTTATCAGAAATTTAAAAACAAAAATTCTAAGAACAGATGCCTCTGTTAGCTTTAAAATGTGTAAAAAAAACTGGAGATATCTTCTCATAAAGGTATATAATCAATATGGGAAGGTAAACTACACAACAGAGAAATTAGAGTACACAGAGTATAGCAGAATAGTCCCCAGAGTTAGAAAGTCTTCCTGGATAACCAGTTACAGTGCTTTTCAATTAAAAATGTACCTCTGTCATATTTATAAATATAAAATAAATATTTTAAAACTAATTTTTCCATTAGGAACATATTACTCAACATTAAGTCCTATACTCAGACAAAATTGTGCCTATTCTTTAAAGTATTTCTTCTATATTTGCTTTTGTGTATTTGATTTAGCATGAAAACTGGTGAAAATTCCCATACAATACACAGTCTAAAATAAATCCATTTTCACTTACTTGTATGTAAAGTATTTCTGAAGCTTTTGAAAAGACAATAATATAAATAGTCTGTTCTGTTAAGACATGTATTGTGCTCAATCTGCTTTTCTAATAAAGCACTGAAGCATTTTCATTAATTTGACTTTTATTTATTTATTTAATCAGGATTTCATGTCCCAGGCTGATCTTGAACTCTGTATGTAGCTGAGATTAACCTTGAACTTATGATACTACTGTCTCCACCTCCTAAATTATTGTATTATAGGCATGCACCCAGTTTATGAAGGTACTGGCATCAAACCCAGGGTATTGTGCATGCCAGACAAGCACTCTACCAACTAAGCCACATCCTCGGCCATTGTTTTTTGTCCTTTAGAATGGAAAACATTTGAAGTTGATAGAAGAGTAACAAATTCATATTATCTTCATGGTAACTTCATTTTCCTTTGTGAAACTACAAGAATAAGAGAGTCCTAAGCACTTCACTAGTAAATGATGAAAAGCTGAAAGAGATTCAAGGAAGAAACAAAGAGTATAGTGTTTCTAGAAAATAATAATGGTCAACTATGCTGTTGTATAAACATGGTGAGGAGGCTCCTTAGATATCCCAATGCTACACTGAAAACAGTAATGAGCTCAAGAGCAGGAAACAGGCTTAATCTCCGTGGAGCCACAAGCAGTGCTCTGGTGGACCTTTTCAATCAATTATATCTAATGAAATTTGCTAATTATGAGGAAAATGAAACATACTTTTTTTCCACAAACAATAAATGGTGATCATTACTTGGTTAAGTTCGAAGACCACCTACAACATAAATCAGAGCATTGCATTATTATCTAAGCTATGAGGCAGAGGCTAGGACTTTGGGTAAGATGCAAGACATGCTCCATTTATATCTGCTATGTTTGAATCCATAAGCTTTCATTAAATATGGTTTATTTGTACTCTTTCATGAACCTTTCTAGAAACAAGTTCTTTGTTAAAAGTCCTACAAGCTGACAATGAAAAACAGAGTATTATTTAGTATAAACATACAAAAAGAAACAATTGTAATGAAAAAATATGAATTTCAATAAAACATTTTCAAATAAAATGTTTTCAATATTCAGAAGTAATTTTATATTTCATGGACCTATAGTAGATATAGAAGAGCACTTACCATTTTTATCCATGGAATTTGGTTCTGATTGTTTCTTGCCAATATCAGCAAAAGATCGGACAATGGGAATCCTGTTGGTGAGTTTTTTCTGATTCTGGTGATGATGCTGTTTCATCAGTGCCTCGTGGACCCTGTGACGTATGTCTTCATTCAGCTGACCTGAGCTGATTTGCTGGTCAAGGACCATATCTGATGCGGGATGGAAGAAGAATATGAGGAGCACAGCTTTCCTGTCCTACAAATTTTAGCAGTGAACTGCTGAATCTAAAAATGTATACACCAAATGTTATTCATATTAAAATAGGAATGAACTCCTTTGAAAACCTCTAAATGTGTTGTTTACCTTTTCTAGAATGTCTACATAGGAAACATGCAAGTTTTCATTATAAACCACTTAATTTAAAACAATTCTTAATTTTTTACAAAGACACTGAATAATATTGAGGAAAAAGTTATGTTATTCATTATTCACCATAATGGAAAAGAATATTTATGAGGTTAGCATCAAAATAATTCAGATGTTTAGAACTAAAAAATGGTCATAAATTTACACACACATGCACACACACACACACACACACACAAATATATGTATGTGAAATTCTCTCTACACAGCTCAGGTTACTTTCAAACTTACACCTCAAACTTCTAAGTCACCCAAGAGCTCAAAGTACACATGTGCACTATGATACCTGGGTTTATACTTATATTTTAATATTGTTTTCACCCACTTTCTAATAGAAAACAATTTTCTTGTTTCCTCCAAGTAAACCAAGGAGCCAAAGGAGACATAGCCAGCTACCTGCTTGCCTGTATTTAGGAAGCAAACATTCTATAATTTGTCATAAAGTCATCCCTTTCTCAATCTGATTCTTGAGAATGTGGTTAAATAACAAATAATATAACTGCAAAACATAGAAAGCAAGATTTCAGAAGACCATTAACTAAGTAAATTGATATTTGTTATACATAGAATCAAGAATGTTAGTAAGTAGATAGGTAGGGAAATTTGAAGTCTAAATTTGAATATCACTTCAATGGACCTCAGCATAATTAGTTTGCTTTCAGAATATAAATATTAGCTCTCATTAGCTTTTTAAAGTGCAGTGTATATAAAGCAGGTCACAATGAACTACATCCTGCTACCATAAGTACACCGAAGGCTTCAGTATTAGCAAACTTTTCCCTTATAAACTTGGATTTCTTTCAGTAGAAAAAGGAAATGGACTAAGGAGACAGACTTGATCCACTCTACAACATTCTAGTTATGTGATCTTACAAAGTTTAATAATAATGATACTGTTACCTGAAAGGTAGAAGTAATATCTATTTCATATGTTGACCAGTGACCTAAGGCCCCTAAGGCACTGACTGGTGTATTGAAGCTGTCAGTAAGTAATTTCCCAGTAGAAATTTTTCTTTGCAATTTCTATTAACAAGGGTATGGGTCTCTGTTTGAAATTTGTGTTGGGTTCAATACACTCATAGTTTATAATAGTAACAAGTAGAAACAAAATTGGGTTTATCAATAATACAAAATACAAATCACACTAGCTAAATTGATTCATTTGATTGGCTCGAAGAACAGAAAAATCAAAGTTAGGATGGCTTTAGTTCCTTTTTCTGTGATGCTATTGGATTCCTCTTTTCTAGGTGTATATTTTAAACTCAAGCTAATTTTCTTTATGGGTATAAGGTGGCTGTCAGCAGCAATAAGAAAATAAATACCCTTGTCCATATCCAGGATGAAGTAGGCTAGCTCTTTTCACTTTATCTTTAAAACAGGGTTGTCTTTACCTGGCCAGGAAAATTCATCTGACTGATATGAACCAACCACTGTTGATGAAAAACAGATTCATATAACTGTCCTGGAAAGATCAAGAATTTCTCTTCATTATAAATTCTCTAAACCAGAGGTAGCCAATTCTTTTAATAAGTGATTTCTTTCACAACTGCTCAAATCTGCCTTATACAAAAGCAGACACAGCAACATGTACACAGAGGAGCATGTGCTCCATTTAAACATTTTAAAAACACTGAAATTTGAATTTCAAATAATTTCTACATTATAAAAATTTTCTTTTTATTATTTTCAACCATGTAAAATGTAGTCCACATTTTACAATATTTGGCAGTATTACAGCCAAGACTGTAATACTAGAGAGCAGGCCACATTCAAATAAGGAGTACAACTTGCTCTGTCAGTTTCTGATAACAATGGAAAGAAGCAAAACAAATATTTGGAAGTTAGCAATAATTTATGTGTAGAATATCTAGAAGTCAGTCACTAAATTATCTAAATGTCTCATTCAATTCTGGAAGTATGGCATGAAGATGAAATTTAAATTTATATTTCAGTTCTTTAGAGATCAGTATGTATGACATCTCTGAATTAAAATGAAATAAAGGAGTGAAAAATTGTCAACACATATGACATCTCTCTGAAAAACTGCTGGGATGGACAATGTATATAAAATGTATTTTATACATCATAATAGAAGTTATAAACTAAGTAATACACCAATATGACATCATTATAAGGAAGGTCCAGTAATAAGATATTATATGACTCCCCTCTTCAGTATTTCAAATCTTTATTTCCAAGTAGTTACATAGGAGAAAGCAAATATTTTTTTAAATGTTCATCTGTTCACTAGTCACTTAAAATATTCAGTCTATGCCTCTATGGCATAACAGCATTATAGAATGTAATAACGAACTGGAAAAGTTAATCTTCTTGCTTAAGAATATAAAATACTGATGTGAGATTTAAGATCCAAAGGGAATATGATTCATTAATCACTTACATTGTTCCCTTCACCACAATAATATGTTTCAGTATTAACTTGAAAAGTAAGAAAGGATAATGAACCATAATAGTTTTAGGCCCAGAGTCAAGTTCTGAAATCTCAGCAGACTATGATGCCTGAGTAATACAGTTCAGCCTGCCAAAGTCCAATTTCAGGATCTTGTTAGGAAGCAAGAAGGAAAAAGATAAATAGAACACACTATTCTGATGTTAAACAGATGCTACAAAACCTAGTGGTGCTTGTGCAAAAAGGTTTCAAAACTGAAGAATCATTTTTCATTGTAATTAGTTAATTACTTTAGCATAATCAATCTATCTTGAGTACTAAACCCCATGAGAGGTCATGAGTTTTTACAAAAACTATATAAATCTCTGAATCTTTCAAAATTGTCATACAAATACCTTGAAAATTCATTTCTTGAACTTTCAAACACACAGAGGCAGGAATGGGCAATGAAGTTCTAAATTTTGCTTGGTTGCCAGCACTAGCAGCATTGTGGGTACTAAAAACACAAAGTACTATAGAGTAGTTACTTTCCAGACTAAAGATTATCATAAAATTATCCTGTTTTTAAAGATATATTTGTACCTCCAAGTCTTTACATTGCATTCAGTGGTACAAACTATTGGTTTACCCTTCAGTGAAAGATGTTAAATAACAAAAGTTGTTTAAATGAGTTGTGAGCTATGACTGATAATTTGTCCAGGATACTAACTTTAACTTGGTTTTAATTTCTTCCTAACTCTCATTGACAGAATCAGGGTAAAGTATTCACACTTCAAAGAGAATATTTCCATTTTTAATCTTTATAATGCTGAATTTTAAAGAGATTAGCATAGACCATAAATTGTCTATAATGTATATGAATATAATTAGGAAACACTTTCAACATGATTAATTTCTACATCAGAATAAATCATGGAAAAAACTGTGGCTAGAGATTTTTGGACTTGAAAAGGTTAAGAAATATTTTGTGGGATAAAGTTTAGATTTATTAAGTTCCCTGAAACACAGGCAAATAGATATATTTTGAATTAACTTCACACAAAAGAAAATCCTACCTTAATTATACCAGAAATTCTTGACAGACCTGCCAGACAAATGGGATTTTCTACTATTAAATCTAACAAAATCTCTTTAAGGAATTATCCGAGTCTGTTAAAAACACATGAAAACACTGATGCAAAATCTTTCATCACTCCAAAACAATATCTAGGTCAGATTCCTCTACAGAGAAATGTCTGGATAACACTAATGCTGCAGATTTTGTAAATTCATGGTTTTGGAGTCCTCAAGGACAAGCTATTAAATATAGCTTTTGGAAAGTTGAAATTACCTATTAATATACATATTTAGTTTGTAACTTCCTAAAATATAGAAATATAATGATAAATAGGCAAGAAAATTTTCTAGGTTTTACATCTTTGTGATCATAAACAAAACTTTATGACTACAAGTTAATATGTCTGTGCCATATGTAGGTGGGTACTAGCAGGGCCCAGAAGATGGTGTCAGATCCTCTGAATCTGAAGTTAAAAGAGGTGCTGAACGTAGGTCCTCTGGAAGAGCAGCCTGTTTTTAAAGGGGGAAAAGAGCCTCCTTCCCACTTTGAAACACTGGTGAGATGACATAATAATGAATATGTACAAACTTTGCAAAGTTTAGAAGACCTAAAAATATAACACGTATATATTTATTAAACAAAATACAGATAATTGTCATAACATGAAAATGGCAATAAATACAAAAAGTAATAGGCTATAAGAAGAAAATATTTTAATGAGATTTAAGTGAAGACTGAAACAATACCTTTTATTTTTTTAAAAAAGTAAGGTTACTCAATAAGAAGGAATCTTTTATTAACTATTGAAAAGTAATATTAGGAAACAAAACACAAATATATGTAAAACCCATATTTTTCTCTGTGATGTTACCTCTAAATTACCATCTACACTGAAAATGGAACATTCAGGTTGGACTACTTCAGAGTCAGAAAGATACACAGACTAATTAGAAAAGAAGAAAGAATACTAAAAGCTATTTTGGGTAGCAGGCTTCCATTGAACTACTTTCACTGTAAGAATAGATTTAGAAAATGTAATTGAAAAACTAGATTTAACACATCTCACCTTTGTATTCTACATGCTCAAACACAAAGAAGGGAGGAGGATAGGGCAAATAAACAGAATTTTAAGCAATAAAATCTATGAAATGAACAGTTTTAGTCAAATTACTAGATTTCCTGATAAGAATACTCTCCTAAGGGAAACATTAGAGACCACATTCTTAAGAAATGTAAAGCCTAGTGAAATCCTAAAAGACATGTCCCAAGGCCAGTGCTGTTAGTCTGAGGAATTTGACAGCTCCATTACACACACCCAGTATAAAATTAATTTGGATTAATTAGTTTTCAAAGATAATGCCATCATTGACTGAATCCAGAGAAACAAACTCCTTCAGGAAAAATCTTTAACCTACTATATACGAGTTTTTTCATGTGTGAAACAAGCTCAACAATAGCAATGCCAAACCCTAACTTGGTTATGAGTATCAAAGAGCTTCCTATCAAAGCCCTGAGTGTCAAACACCCAATCATTTCATTCATGGTTAAAATGTAAAAATGCTAATTGAGTATCTGAAAGATCCCATAATGTAAACTAAAGAAATTTAACTAAATGGCTATAACTCCTACTCTCTTTGGGGATTTGTTGACTTCCAATTTTGACTATTTTCTGTAAGTCTTGACTTAGTACAAACTATCACTGCAGCCCACTTTGTTCTGAAAATTGTGCTATTTAATTGTATAAAATATTTTAGGCTTTAAGTACATAGCCTAAAGAGAACTTAGCTTATAGACGTTATATGAATCTTAGGGGAAGTGGATTATCTTTGCTTGTTTGGGTGTATTTTTGTTTTTAACTTTCACTATAGTTTTGCAAATTTTTGCCTTTATGTTGTGATCAAGGATACCTTTTGATACTTGTGCTCCTTTTCATCCACACTGCAGTGTCTACATGTGTATTAGCACAAAACACCAACATTTTTTTCCAGCATGGTCTGAACATGTAGCCTGGTTTGGTCTTGAATTCATTACCTTCCTGCCTTAGACTCCTGAGTACTGAAATTTCAGGCATATACCACCACAAAACTTCAAAATCATCAATTTTCAAAGTTATCAAATTACTATTAAAATTTTGGCAGTAACAAAT